GTGTATCGAGCTCCATTGGAAACAGTGCAGCAATACCTCCACAATGGCGGCCTGTAAAATTTTCTATTTACGGTATCCAAATGAATATCATTATAAATTGGAAACGTCATTCACAGGAAAGATATGAATAGCCTAGATAGCTCTAGATCTAATCACACCCATTTTAATAAGTTTTAATTAACCTTACAATAGGCCCTGGAAATTATTTTTTGTAGAAAAGCATTTTTGGATTTTTATAATTTCCTTTGTTTGTTGCAGGCTGGTGTGACCCTCACTGTTAGTCATGGCATCCGATGATATAGATGTGGACTCTATGACTCTCACTCGCTTTGTCCTCTCTGAGCAAAAACGAATAGGAGCAACCGGGAGCTTGACACTTCTTTTGAATGCACTCCAAACCGCCATCAAAGCTATCTCTGCTGCTGTCAGGAGAGCTGGATTCGCTAAACTGTAAGGAAATTAAATTTTAATGATGAAAATAGTTTTTAATTATAAGGTTACATGTGCTAAACACACCTTTACACACCTCCACTCTCACCCATTAATTGAAAAATTGTTATTATTAGTTTTTTTGCAAATGACATCTTTCTAATTCATCTTTCTTCAATTACTTCATCATCTAAAATCTTGGTATTATTCATTGCAGTTCCAAATTCTTCTGTGATAGTGATCATAGCTGATGTATTATTATTATTATTATTATTATTATTTACAGCACGAAGAAACTAGAGTAAAATCTCATAGAAAAAAACAAATAGCAAAGCAATAAATAGAGAAACATAATTATTGATGTGAATGATGAATGATGCAGTTACAACAAGGACACATGGTATGGAAGGTACCGCATGGATTGTAGTTTGATTTCCAGTGGTGACATGCAGTCTGAGTCTACTTGAAGATATTTTTCAACTCACTAAAACCAGACTCCTCCTATAGTCTGTGATCTTGTGGTCAATGCAGGTCTGTATTTTGGCCCCCTGATCTAAGAAACCTCTGAACTGTATTTTGTTATCATACTCTATCAGTTTGGTGTTATCACCGACCATACATAATTATAGTGGCCCTTGTATGTACATGTCTAAGAATATGAGCATCAAACTTTAGATGTTCATGATTATTAGTTAATTAATATTTTGAACGAGTGGGCAAGTAGGCTAAAGTTGATTTTATGAACTCATTCTAAATTGTGGTTTATTTTTTAGAGGAGTATTGTGTATTTAAGCAAATAGATCTACTCATTAGAATAAGTTTAAAGATTCTTTTAGGTTAATGCCACATTTGGTTATGTACTCTTAACTTGAGTCTTCTTGCATTCTGAATGCACTGTGGTGCTTTCTGAATTGACAAGTTGTGGCTTGACCAGATATTTGTATATAACTTGATACGAGTGAAGGCCGGACTTTTATTTGAAATCCAGCAAGTGAGGGCACCCTCGGACTCTGGCCAGTTCTGACATGATTTCCTCCTCCTTTTCTCTCCTTCCTTTCACATTAAACACATTTAATTTTCTGATTAATAGCAAGTAAAGATAATTTTTAAATTGTGGTTAATTAGAAAAATTAATGTTAATTAGCAGAAGTTTATTAAAACTTTCAACTTTGGCTATTTTCAATTTTTGGCAAAAAGATGGGGATCCGCGGACTAACAACTTACATGAACTGGTCCTACTGGAGGCAATGGAGGACTATTGAAGTACGTGGACGGCTCATAATCGATGCTATGAGTGTCTGTTTTGTCATTCATGAGAATAATCGCATAGACTGGCTACATGGCGGGCAGTACTGGGAGCTGAGGCAGTCCTACAAGCGTTTCATTACTAGCCTCCTGGAAAGTGGCATCGAGCCTATTGTCATATTTGACGGTATAGATTACACTGGGAAGAAATCTGGAGTTATGTTGGATCGCAAGGAGAGTGCCAGACAAGCCATCTCAGATATTTTAGATAAGGACGACGCCGAGTCTAACTCATCTACTGGCTCCTCCGCCTCTCGCTTAGACAAACAGCACGACTTTAGCAAACCAGCTCCATCACAAGGCTCCACTGTAATTCCTCTTTTTGCCCAAGCT